ACACACACACACACACACACACACACACACACACACACACACACTCATCCACTATCCTCCCCCACAGATGTGTATCACTCTAAACAACATAGAGCACGTGCGAATGTTCCTGAGTGAGTTACCACAACGACTCAACTGGGAGGCCGTGACGTCATCACTCAGCCTGAAACATGAAAACCCCATGGTGCTGAATTGTTGTTGTTGTTGTTGTTCGTGGTGGTGGTGTTGTTGTTGGTGGTGTTGTAGTTGTTGTTGTTTTTGCAGTTGTCATCGTCTTCGTTGTTGTTGTTGTTGGTTATGGTGGTGGTGGTGGTGTTGGTGTTGGTGTTAGTTACTTTGTTTTAACATCTCTAATGTTTTGCACTTATGTGACCTTATTGTGTTGCAAGTGCGTAAAACACTTACTCAAAAAAATAGAGTGGGTGGTTGGCGTGTGCACTTGTGTGGTTTGCTCTTTCTTTCTTTCAAACATCTGTCTTCCTTGTATTTCCTGCTGCTTTTTGTTTTGTTACTCTCTTGTGTCACCTCCAGCTCTAATCTTGGCACTTAAATGACCTTACTGTGTGGGTGGTTGGAGGGTGCTCTGGTGTGGTTTGCTTCTTCTTTCTTATCAAATATGTTGTCCTTATCTCCCCTCCTTCTTTTTTGTGTTTGTTGCTCTCTTGTAACACATAATCTATTTTTCGGCACTTATATGACCTTATTGTGTTGCAAGTGCAGTAAAACTCTTACTAAAACTAAAACTGACCTTACTGTGTTATAAGCGCTGTAAAATTGTCACTAAAACTGAATATCAAGTAATATGACCAATGACATTCTTCGTAAACTTCTGCAGGTAGGAGAGCGAGCACTTAGCACCCTGCATCGACTCACACAAAACGCACACACGGACGTGCTACAGATGAGCGCGAAGATTCTCAAGTGTGTGGGAGAGAAAATGTGTGTGGAGGTGAGGGGGAGGATGGAGGAGTTCCTGGTTACTCGGCCCGACTCTGTATCGGTGAGTGTGTTTGTATGTGTGTGTGTGTGTGTGT